TCATGTTGGCGTTTTCTTTAGGAATGGCAAGGAGGTGAGTGCTGAGGTGAGGCTTGGGGCGCCTCTCGGCCTCTGAGCCAGACTCCGGCGAAGTGAGTCACAGCGACAACTGTCTTGAGACGACGAAGACTTTGAGCCCCTGACGCGGTCGAGGAAGCCAGCTGGGCATCCCGGCTCCTCCTCCCTGCCCAGTAGCCGCCTCGGAGCCCAATCCCTGTTACGAGGCACGAGCCGTGTTAATTATGGCCCCAATCCGTAACAGAGCAACGCTATCACGGGCGACACAAGTCCAGGCTGCGGGACGTATATCAAGCGGGACTTATATGGCGTTTTAATAGACCTCCGCGGCGGGTTCCCTCGGGACGGGTCGCTCGGCGGTGGGCGGCGGGCGGTGGGCGGCGTCAGGATCAGGAGGCCGTGAGGAGTGCAGCTTGGGGGGGAGGGGGGGATTGGAAGGGTTTTCCTTCCTCTTATATAATGATATAGTTTTTTTTTTTTTTTTTTTTTTTTTTTTTTTTTTTTTTATTCCTGCCCCCCCCCACCTCTCTCTCTGTCCGTTTGTCTGCCCCCTCTCTCTCTCTCTCTCTCTCTCTCTCTCTCACTCTCACTCACACTCACACACTCACACACACACATCACACTCTCTCTCTCTCTCACTCTTTCTCTCTGTGAATACACCTCGAGACTCTTAGCCTGCCGATACAAAACTGCAATTATTCACACGTAATTTTTTCCCTCCATAAGTAACCTGAAATGGACGTAACTAAACGTTCTTCTAATGGAATTTAAAGACAAGACGAAGACGATATCAACTCGAATCTCAAACACAGGCGAACGTTTCAAGTGTTTGCTCGACCTTGACCTCGGTTTCGGGGCTGGAGGGAGGAGGGAGAGGAGAGGAGGAGGAGGAGGGAGGAGGGAGGGAGGGAGAGGGAGGGAGGAGGGAGGAGGAGGGAGGGAGGAGGGAGGAGGGAGGGAGGAGAGGGAGGGAGGGGAGGAGGGAGGAGGGAGGAGGGAGGAGGAGGGAGGAAGGGAGGGAGGAGGAGGAGGAGGGAGGAGGAGGAGGAGGGAGGGAGGGAGGAGGAGGGAGGAGGAGAAGGGAGGCAGGCAGGAGCAGAGCTCAAGTCCAAGGCGGAGGGATATGGTTTGATGGTGTTGGTTATTGTTGTTGTTGTTGTTGTTGTTGCAATGTAGAAAAGTCATTTCTCCGCATCCTAGCGCTATATACTGGCTCGAGTGGTGACGTTCTGGACATGCAATCGGTTTGTGCCAATTAACCTCTCTTCTTTAAAATGAAGATCAAAGGCCTGCAATGGAATGAATGCTGTTGAAAATGGAAACAGACATATCCATATATATATACATATTTACACACACACACACACACACCACACACACACACACACACACACATATATATATATATATATATATATATATATATATATATATATTATGTTATATATATGACACACACAGACATAAATACATGCATACACATACACGTATACACTTACATACACGTATTTACATACATTCACGTATTTACATACATCACGTATGTATACATACATACTCTCACGCATACATGAACACATGCATGGTCTGTATACACACCCATGTGCACGAGCATCTCCGCCTGAATGAGCCGGGCCGAGGGCGCTCTCCCATTCATCTCCCGCCCACACCCCGTAGGGCGGCGTCTGAGGCTGCGGCAGACGGCGTGGCGGCTCCCGTGCGCATATGCAACACTTGTTTTGCTAATAATTCCATTTGCCTTTTGCAACGCCCGCAATGAGAGCGCCGCCCGCCCGCCCGGTTCAAAACGGTTGGCAATTTACGACGAGGCACGTAATTTATGGCGCCAAATTGCTTTCCGATTCCTACCTTTGTCTCGCTTTTTTGCCCGCGCGGTTTTTCTATCTCTCTCTCTCTCGCTCTCGCTCTCCTTTTCCCCTTTTTTCTCTCTCTCTCTCTAATCTTCCCCCTTCCCCCCCCACCCACCCCTTATCCCTCAACCTTTTTTTTGCGCCTCCAAACGCATCTATTTTGCATCTCCTTTGCATAATGGTCGGTTAGCAGTAGATAATGGCAAGTTTTATCTCCGCTACTGGTCTTCCGCTTGTTAGCACAAATCGCTCGTTCCCTTTTTTCGCTTAATGCCCGGTAGTTAGCGAGCGCGGAGGACGAGCGGGAACAGCGCCCGTGGGTGGGGGGTGAGGGTGGTGGGTGGTGGGGTGGGGGGGTGGGGTGAGGGTGGGTGGTGGTGGGGGTGCGGGGGCTGGTCCTATTCTCATTGGCGGAATTTTTTTTCGCTTGTGTTATTGTTTTATTGTTTTTGTTGTTGTTGTTTTTATTGTATTGTTATTTTATTAGTTCTTAATTATTATTATTATTATTTTATTATTATTATTATTATTATTATTATTTTATTATTATTTTGTTGTTGTTTATCATTTTTAATATTTATATTACTTTTGATGATATTATTAAAATAAATATTTTAATAACAATGATAGTTATGATAATGATGGTTATCATACCAGTAATACTAATGATAAAGTAATATTCATCATAATTATAATAATGATTATAGTAATGATAATGTTAATGATAATAAAATTGATAATGATAATAAAATTAGTAATGATATTGATAACAATAACAGTAATGGAAAATACGAGAATAATGATAAAAGTGATTATATTATATAACAATTATATTAATAGTGGTAATATATTGATGAAAATAACTATAATATAACACTAATAGACGATAATAATAATAGTAATGCAGAAATTACAGTTAGTAATGGCATATCTTACTACTACTGTTAATGATAATTATGATAATAATTATAATGATAGTAGTAATGATAATGATAATAATCATTATTTTTCTTATAACAGTTATATTAAAAATATTAATAACGATAATGATAATAATGATAATAATGAATTAATAATAATAATGAGTAATAATAATAATAATAATAATAATAATTAATAATAAGGATAATAACAATGATAATGATAATAATAATCGTGATGATAGGGAAAAGATGATGATGATATAATAATCTAATAAATAATAATAATTGATGAATACGATAATGATATATGAATGATACATAATAACGAATAATGAATAATAATAATTAATAATAATGATAATAATGATAATAATACAATTGATAGTAATAAAACAACAATGATAATAAAGATATTGATAATAATATTGGTGACAATGATGATAATAATAATAATAATAATTAATTGTAATAGTAATATGACAATAATGATAATCATTATAATCAACTAGTAATAATAATAATCATAATGATAATATTGACAATTATAAAAGGTATTTTAGCATTTTAGTACAAATGATAATGATAGAAATAGTACGGCTACTATTAACCCTACTAATGATGATAGTTACGTCATCATTAGTATTATCATTCTCAGCATTAGCGCTGTTATTTTCTTCTTCTTTTTGTTATTATAAAGAACAATCATTAGTATTATTATGTCTGTAAGAGAAAAGACTTTTCTATACTGTTCCCGATTCGAGTTGTTTCATAAAAGATTTACTGAACCGTGTGATTATCAAAGGATCAATTGCTGAACAAAAGCTCTAATAAAAAACGGAGAGTTTATTTAATGGATAAAACATGTGCGTTTTTATACGAGGGCTTCTATGTGGCATATGGTATGTTAGTACGTATTCACTTCCTCTCAGTATGCTATTAGTCTTATCATTTTATGTTTTTCTTTATACGCATATAGTAAAAAGATATATTAATGTTATGGAAAAGTTATTTTTCTTTTTAATCCCCTTTATAAAAAGCCTACGCACCGGCCTTAATGCATGTAATATATAATAGAAAAAATATATCTTTCCAATATTCACCCAGGACACCTCGACCCGCTGTCCCCCTCCCCCCCTCCCCCCCACAGCGGCGAAGCAAACAGCCATTAGCGTAATGAGTGTTAACAAATATAGGGGTCCTGTGGTCTGTGTTGCTATGGGCATGTTTACATTTAGGACGCCATATTTCCTATAATAATGTCGATATATAACAATGTCGCTAATTTATATGTTGCTGCGTCTGTCTCAACGTAGAGGGACAGTCAACTTAAAGCGTGTATTTGATTACCTCCTTTTGCTTCCTAATTGGTCCTCCTATTCGGCTCTACCGCAATAACGTCGAATACCCCATGTGTTTACGAATGATTATGAACCATGGAGAACACGTAGGAAACAAGGCACGCTGTCCTCGTGCTGTTTCCCTCGATTTTTGAATATGTGGAGAGTCGTCGCCACTTAGCATAAAAACACAGAGCAGTTTAGTACATGTTTATGCAGTGTCTCCAGACGTGCTACAGAGTCCCTGTTCATAGCTCCGACATCCTCGTAGGGAAATAATGGTCTTGCGGCTACAGACAAGGTTGGTGTTTTTTTGGTTGATGTTTTAAGGGCCAAAGACCTGTTTTTATGGGATTATCTGTAAGTTGACTTTGGATATTATCATTGATGAGGTAGTTACTGAAGTCTGAGAAGGAGAAACTTGCCGTGTGTTTGAGTGTGTTATTTGTTTTTGTTTACTTATTTATCGTTTGGTAACCGTTAACCAAGCATTTGATTTTATTTATGCTTGTTCCTATATCTAACGAATACGAGAAAAAATGAGTAGTTATACATACTTCGAAATCTGCCAAGGTCATACAGGTAATCGGACACTCGAAGGGTCACCTTGTCCGTTCTCGACCTGGCCCTAAACAAGCTTATTGTGCATGACTCATCTCTTCTAGGGCCAACCGACGACTGCCCCTCGCCCCCTCCCCCCACCCCCCGCCCACCCCGCCACCCCTCGCCCATTCTTTTCCTTCTCTCTGAACTTTCCTTCTTGCCTCTCCCCCTTGTTCATTCTCCCTGCCCATCCCTTCATCCCTCGGCCCCTCTTTCCTTACCTACCCCCTCTGGCTTTTCCTTTTCCG